ACGAGATCTTTTATAACTAACCTGTCTCGAAATCAGAGTTCCATTGTATCACTGTATTCAGAGCTGAATGAGAACTGATTCTAAATGTTGGTCAGAACAAAAGATGGACTCAAGGAAGAAATGTATTGTGTTGAACAGTTAAACAATGAAGTGTCATTGTATAGGTTTAGCAAAGACTTTGGTAAAAATAGCGTTACCTTGAAATAAAGTATTATGTTTCAATACAATTTTTGTATATATATGTTACATAATAAATATGTTTAAAATATACCACTCACAAAAGATGATTTCTTGGTTAAGTTCGATTGAATGGCATCATTGTTTTTTTTTTTTTTATAGCCAATTATATTCAGCAAATTTTGTACAAAACACCGACCAACAAACATTAAGCTAATGGCGAACCGTTCGATTCCAATAAAACACGTTGACAAGGTAAATCCAATCAAAGTTTTAATTGCAATTCCTAAACATTTCAGGTTCTTGTTTTTCACCACACAAACTCGAGTTTTGTATATACAAATAGCAATTCGGTTTTTATGCTGGTCTAATGTGTTTTGCTGCTTTTAGTTTTGAGTTTGGTATGCGTGTTAGAAGTTAAAAATTTAAAAAAAAGTATTTGAATTGAAAAAAACGAAACTGGTATTTTTCTTTACGAAAATTACTGAACAACCTCACAAAAATCTGTCGATAAATAAACAAAAACATATTTGATTTCCACTATGTCTAGATCAAAATAAAAAGTCAGGGGCTGAAATAAAAAGTGAGTGGTACTTTAACGGGCTTTGTTTAAATGTATTTTTATATACCTTTTATCAGTTCATAGGGTTTTGGATGGACCGATTACCACAACGATACTAACATGTTTCAGGGTCAAAATGGTGACCTAATTACTGGTTGTCCCGTTTATATGAATTTTTAATAGTGTTTAACAGCTTTAAATATCGTAGCTTGAAACTTAACGTTATTTTTACTTTACGAACAGTGAATAAAAACGCCTAACACTTCAAAATATATTTAGAGTAATACCTTTGATAAATACAACAATAATAAGAACCATTCATATACTAAAAATAAACTCAAATAATTATAATTACTAGGGGAAACCCGTCGAAATCGACGGTTACTTTCAAGGCTTACGTTAATTCATCTAACTGCGATGAATTGGGTGAAATATACATATTTTAAACATTTAACATTGTTCAAAGAGTAATAAGTGTAAAAAATAACAATATTGCGTTAGTTGCCAAATTTGGTTGTTCATTCAATGATTAAAATATTTCCTATCCTGTACGTCATCGGAGTTATTATTATTATGTTATATGGTATCTCTTCCTTTGGTAGAACCTTTTAATAGTATTTAAATCGTATTGGTGGATCTTATAGTTAAACACTTCGGCGACTTCATCAGTGTTTGAGAAAAAATATATGTTTTCAAGTGAAAGATCACAAAAACATTAAAATCATATGGAATTTATTGAATTACAATTTATGTATATTTGTAGCGAGTTTATATAATTCTCATAATATTTTTATATTATATTGTAGTATATATAATATTATAATCATAATACTATCATGATAATACTAACTAAAACTTCGCCTGAGACCTGATTATTCCGAGCTAATTAAATAAACAGATAAAGTGCCGTCACAGTATTAGCAAAGTTTGAGAATTGTATTAAAGAAACCTTTCTAATTACTTAAACGACTAACTTCCTCCCAGATTATTTGGTCGGTAAAATGTTTTAAATGCAAGTAATTATGTAATTTACTGTTTCATAATCTTGTTGTTCTTATTCAAATAATATTATAATAATAATTATCTTTCTTGTTTGTTCTTTTACATTTTAATGAAATGTTTAAAAGTAAAACAATAATTACTTCAATATAATTGTTTAATCAAAAGAGCTACTTTATAATAACTCTTTTATAATATATATTTAATAATAGTTCTTTTATAATAATACGTTATAATAACTATTTTATAATACTTGTATTACAGCTATTGGGGTTGTAACTTTTTGTTTAGAGTTCAAAGTACTACAACATAGCCTACTAAATTTTAATCAAATAGTTTAAACCATTTTTGTGTAAATTCGATTCCTCCCTTGTTCTATGCGGTTTATGGGGAAATCCCCAATAAAACCATGACATACTATGAATATATTGTGGTATATATAATATTATAATCATAATACTATGATTTGGTTTATTAAAAACCTCAATATATCTTTGAATTTTACTTTACTAAAAGACTGTACTTATACATCTATATTTAAAAGTCATATGTTTAAATTGTTTTTTATAAAAAAGTAATAATTTTGTGTGTTGTTTTATGAAATAAACATGTTAGGTTTGTTTTTCAACATTTCATTTTGTCATTTGTATTTATAGTCCATGATATGGAAAAATTGAACGACAACGAAAATCTAAATTTCAAAAACAGTCAAAAACATCTAGAGTTACCATTGATTAGTACCATTTACTATTGGATAGTCAAAGATTAGTACCCACTAACCAAATTTCATTAATCGAACCACATGTGTAGGTGGTTTGTAGCTGTGTCACACACTCATACAGACGCAGACAATATAACTTAGAAAACTCTTTTTGTCCTGGGGGGAACCAACAAAATATTTCCACCAAAAATCCAAACTCATAATTCCTCTCAAAATCCAAACTCTAAAATATTTTGGCTGAATTAATACTTTTATCATATACTATGTATAGGGGGATAAAGTAAAAGCTTAAAATTTTACATTCAACCAAATCATAATTAACTTGAGCTGTATTTTTACATCCAGTTAACACTCGCATGTAACATTACGTTACTAAAGTAAGCCTCTACACCAAAGCACCCTCCAGGCCTACACTTGTACACCTAATAAGGCATAGCTCTCTTGAGGACGTCTCCAGATGTTAAGAGTGTGCTCCACTTATCACTAACTACATCAGGTTACTTAAAAATATATATAATATGAATAATAATGTATGTATCTTGTTTTTCATTAAACATTCTTACCAAGTCATGTATGGAAAAGTGTTCTTACAATTTCCTGGTGAGCGTTGTATCAAGGATATAATTACACATCCTAAAACACTAATTTATATATATTTTTATTATTCTTTTAAGATTTGCAAAAGGAACGGTCTAGACCCTTGTCAAACGTGTGCGTTTCGTTTTAAAGCATCATTAATTTGTAAGTCTAACAATATATGACAGGTAATTTAAGAATTAACTGCGACTGGGGTCGAACTAGAAGCCTTCAAATGTTAAGGCAAGCATTATAAAAACTTTACAATCTGGCCCAATGTTGGTACGAAATCAATTGTTTATTTCAATATTATATCAAATACTATTTCTCTGTAATATTAATATGTTGGTTCCCAGAACAATGTTCGTTTAAATACCTTACTGAATCCAAATAATTCAATGGAAGTGGTAGGATTATTTCTTAGATGTCTATTTAATATTTAAAAATCATATTATTAGATATTCTATTTTAAAATTAATTACATTAAACCATGTTTAGCTTGGAATAAAATTTCCCCTATTGGTGTTGTAACCTAACATTTGCAAATAATCCATTTACATAATTTATCATAGTTATACGTTTAACATATTATATTTCTAACATGATTTTTTTAAACTAAAAATCTCGTTTCTTCCTGTAAGGAAGACGTCTTAATGTTAACTAATGTTTACAAAATGGACAAACTCATGTTTAGTATTAATTTATTAATAGTTTTCAATAATTAATTGTGTTACAAGCTAAATTAACAGTAGAGTGTTACTAATCACTTTTATGTATAGTTTACAAAACACCAATAGCACCGAAATACCCCAGAATGTTTCAAAGACATCTAATTACATTTGAAACTATTTACAACAGTCAATGCAATCAGGTTTTATCTGTTGATGAGATTGTTAGCTGGCAAAACAGCTGTAAAGTCGTTTAGGAAACGATTAAACGTAATCGTTAACACACTCTAACTGTGTAATTTTATTACTTCAATGAATTTATCGTTAAAACCACCAAAATAACAAATCAATCACATTTCCAAAGGCATTTAAAATAAATATTCGATTGCAATTTGATTGAAAATACTACACAACATTCATTTTAACAAGTCGATTCCTGTAAAAAAAAGTCATTAAGTTTTTAATCACCAGCTGATTTCATTGTTGCTGAATACAGTTCCAACAAAGACCCTATCTGTGACAGTGACAGTATCACTAACAAATAGTCTGAATAAATATGCGAGATGCCCAGTAAAGTTAAGAGCTCTTGTTCATTGTGTTCTAAAATGAACGAGTCTCCAGACCAATTCGCCATTAGTGACTCGAGTAAGTACCTCGAATGAATTAATGCAATTGGATTTTAAACCTTTTAAACTCTTGAAACAAAAAGGCCTTCGAGGACGTTAAGAATACGTTTATTTATATTTGAAATGCCAAAAGTGCCTTGTTAAATACTTTCAGGTAGTTAATTTCTATATAGGATGGAAAAAGCTTTATAATATTACCGAAGTAAATGTACAGTAACAGTAAATATAACTTGAGCTTTGAGAGTTGATTAGGATAAATGTATCTTAAACTTTAGTTTGAAAACTTGCAAACTTAAAAGTCCTTAAGTCATTTTAGTGATTAATTGAGCACAAACAGAGAGTGTTTTTTTTTTGTTTTTTTTTTTACCTCCTAAATCTATCTACTATTATATAAAATTAAGTATAGCATTTAGAGGTGTATTGTTTCTCGTCATGTTCGTCGTGTTTTTATTCTTATGGAGAAAAAGAACTGTTGTATTTTGCTTGTTTATGGATATATTTGAATTTGGCAAATTTGTTTACTTCATACTAAGTAAACAACAGTTCAATAAAAACATAGATTTCCCTTTCCCTGTAGCAGCAAACACCTAAATACTCATTAAAAATAATGTTATATAAATAGGAAATAAATGGGACAGTTTTAAGGGAATGTTTTAAATCCAGCTAGATAAATGGAAATTCCCTTTGTCTGCAGGTTTGCTGTGTCTGGGGTATTTTTGAATAATAACATCAATTACTGTAGAGGTATGACACTCTGTACATAAACACAACACAACTAACAGTAACGACTGGGATTAACAGTGTTATCTAAGTCACACTTGACTATCTCGAGTTATCAGTAATGTCAAGTAGTCATGTTTCATTCACTTCTATTGACGGTCCTGGCTATCCTACCGGTAACATTTGGTAGTAATTTAGTCTATTATTACATTTTGAAATAGTTTATGTTTAAAACAAACTACTAACATTTAGTGACTTTTGTCACTTCTTTTGTTTGCTATTTTGAAATTTTTTACTAACATTCTTTGACATTCATAATTCATTAGACATCTAATTTCTTCAAAACTTAATTTTGATTTGCCATTGTTAACAATTTTAAAACTTGATTAATTTTTTATTGATTAGTAATTGTTGTATAGCTAGTTACGATGATTGATTTTGCTTGTATACCAATCAAATTCATTATTTTTCCATTATTTTCCCTTCTTGAAGGCAACTCCCTTTTGTTGCGCATCAAATAGATAGAAATAGATATCTACGTAGATTCTATGTAGATTCGACATCTACGTTTTTGTATGATAATACAAAGATAATACCTTCTCTGAATATTCCAAATTTATAAATTTAAACATTTCTAATGTTACAGGCCCCGATTTATACTACATCTACTACAGACTACTATACGGCAGCTGTTGTGGAACTAGCTACTTCTCGTACTTCTAACAATGTGACAAACGAAAACCTAATAGAAAATGTTGACGTATACATTGAATATATATCCAATGCCTCCCTAAGTCAGGTATATATTGTTAGCAGACTTAATAGCAGCAACAAAATTTCAACATTTATGTTTTCATATGATATCAATTTGCTGTTTTATTCCCATAATATTTTGTATTTTAGAATGCAAAAAAGCTTACGTTACTCTTTCCTTTTACTTAAAAAGGTAACTTGTTTTTTGTTTAAGTTTGCAGGTTTTCTACGACGGAATTATTGTGTCTGTATTTATTTACTTTCTACTTTCTTTTACTATTGCCATATTGAATGTTGCAGGTAGACATCATAGTGTTCCCAGAAGGTGGTTTAACAGAATCTGTAGAGGTTGGAGATATTAGTGGTGCAACTCCTTGTAACATAACTGCTTACCATCAGGTGATAAAAATAAGTCATCATCTCTATTATCTATTATGTTATAAATAAGAGGGATTTCTTTATGTCCATTGTGTTTATTTTTGTTAATTGCCCAAATTAATGAGCCTAGAGGAGTGATATTGAAAAAAGTTATACCTGAAACCCCCTAAGGATGAAGCCAACGTCCTGATATTTGGGCATATTGAGCATTATTTTGATTTAATGCCCAAGGGGACATTAACGATTTGAGATGGGGTTTTTGGAAGTAACTTTTGATAGGTCTTATGGGGGGAAAATAAAAACCAAACCATATATAATTTACTACACGACTTACGCTTATTGTATATATTTTACCTTACCACACAAGATACTGAATCAAACCAAGAGAATTTAATAGAACTGAATAAAATATAAATGGTTGATTTTGTTTTTGGAATAATGATAGGTTTTCCCATTGTAGGAGTTCACAGAATATAATTAGATCCAAACATTGTTTAATTAAACCCATCTACAGTAGAATGAATTAATAATGACGTGGTACAAATTAGTCTCCAAAATAATTGTTGGCTGTGTAGCGGTGTATTTTGTTAAATTTAAAAAGCCGTATTTTCAAACACAAAGTTTAATTTGAGCTAATTACATTTACTTCACTTCTATATAGTTAATTTTAATCTACCATAAGGCTAGTTGGTAGAATAGCTTTATCTTTATCAATATTGAAATATTTATCAATATTTAATGTCCCTACGTAAACTATGCTTTAATTTACAGACCTGGTCCAGAATAACCCTAATATAATATACATTATAAAGGATGTATTTCACGTGCAGGTGTTGGCAACGCTGTCATGTGCTGCCAGACAGTACAGCATGTATGTGGTGGTAACACTGCCTGAGATTTACAACAATGCCTTCAATAAAACTCATCTGTTTACCACCAGCCTGGTTTTCAACCGTAATGGAACTGTTACAGCCAGGTAAGGTTGCTGAAAGGTTATTTTAGGTTAGGTTAGGTTGGTTAGGTAAGGTTAAGTCACGTTAGGTTAGGTTAGGTCAGGTTGGTTAGGAAAGGTTAGGTTAGGTTAGGTAAAGTTAGGTCAGGTTAGGTTAGGTAAGTTTAGGTTAGGTTAGTTAGGTTTTCAACCGTAATGGAACTGTTATAGCCAGGTAAGCCAACTGTCACAGGTGATTAAAACTAGTATGCTTCCAATAGTACTAGTAGTCTTCTCGTCATAACGTAAAATCTGAAGTTTTTGGTTTTATGCGTTTTATGTTGGTAGTGTTTGACTGTACTTGTCGATATATTGTTTATTGTTTATGTTAGGGTGGATTTAAAATTTATATGTGGCTAATTCTTTTGTTGTAAGAACTGTGTATAAGGAATAGACCTATTTAAGTAATGATCAACAAAGAACTCTCTGCAGAGACCGGACAAAAATGTGCCTTAATTTTTTTTATTGATCCATAAGAATCGAATAAGAATGCACATTAACCATAGTGTTTAATCTACGCTTCTATCGTGGAACGAGTTGTTTAGTGGTAGAGCGCAGATATTCGGTGTCCGAAGTCCCGGGCTCAAATCCTGCCGATCACCAATGGATTTAAGCCAAGTGATAATGCAAAGAAATCCTCGTCTGAAGTAATGTGAAAACGGTTTAGCAGTAACATTATAGGATGGGAAGGTGGGGGAAAACTATGTGGGAATAGAAAGCTAACTGTCCACATAAATTTCCTAAATAAAATTCCTAAATAAATTTCCTAATAAATTTCCTCACTCATATTCAAAATCTCAAATGTTTCTCTGCAACCCAGGTACAGGAAGTACCACCCTTACGGCAAGTCTGCAACCAAACCTCCGCTTGAACTTACGTATTTCGAAACTGATTTTGGAGTGACGTTTGGAATGTTAATCTCTTTTGACATTCAGTTTCTAGAACCAGGAATCGTTCTTGCCAGAGACCGTGGAATAAAGCATTTTGTGTTTCCAAACTGTTGGGTTTCTGCACTACCTTTCTTCACTGGTAAGTAACTTAACTACATTTTATTAACACTTATAGTTAAGGGGTAGTCTAGTGACTGGAATGGAGACTTCTACCCTTAAGAATGAGGTTCGAATACTGCTATCACTAATGAATCTCAGTTATTTTATAACTCCCCATATGACCCCACTTAAAGCAGTTGGTCCAATCTGGTTAATTGCTTGTATTGTTATCTGCAAAACTTCAACACAAGTAATGCAGTGCATGGCCATAACATTGGGTGAAATTAAATTAAATTGTCATCTCCTTCCTCCTTCTACTGGCTTTGTATGATCAAGGAATCTTTTCTGACCATGACCCTGATACTCTCCCTTACAAAATCAAGCAAGCTTAAATACAGTTTTTAAGCAGCTTAATTACGAATACGTGAGTTTTTTAAAGAGTATTACGGTATATACGCTCCAACACCCTTTGCCATCAGTGAAGAAGTCACCTAATCCGATGAAAGCGCAGACCTTCATTCCCGGGGGTCCTGGGTTCGAATCCGTGCAAATACTATTGGCTTGGGTGAGACCTATGTCAGGAACATCTATGCCTAACCTAAGGTAATTTGTAAGGTGCCAGGCTGAAGCAAAGCGTCATATGTTGTGAATGTAGAACATTAAACAAAAACGTAGCGGTTATTCAGTCATATTTGGTCTCAAGCAGACGACAAAATAAGGTAACAAGATATATACATTATTAAATTTATATGTTTAATCTCTCCACAGCTGTGCAGACACAATGGGCCTGGGCCTACGGCCTAGACGTAGTTCTATTGGCCTCAGGATGTAACGATCCTCTCCACGGTGGTACAGGGTCCGGGGTCTACCTTGGAAGACAAGGAGCTCTTCAGTACCTCCAGACGAGTCACTCCACCTCGACCATGCTAGTGGCTAGGGTGCCCAAATATCTAGGTAAGTGTATATTTTGGATAACAATATTTTGGAAGCACTACCTTTGAACCTTTGAATACTACTAGATAATTTTGTGTGTTTTATATATATAACATTGGCTTCGTCTGGTCAACGTAGATGAGAAGTCTACTTCAGTAAGAGTACAGTCAGAGGTACCGAGATCCTCTTTGTAGCTTGAACTATTTAAGAACATTTGCTATCCTATCCAGGGTCATTTATTAAGGCCCAATGATCAGGAGTAGCTAGTTCTAGTTGTGAACTGTCAAAAGGTTGTTCAAAAGGTTACTGACTGAAGAGGCCATGAGATACTCTATATACATACTCATGAATCATATATGTTTACTATGAGATTTTTAGCTAAACAAAAGTACCTTTCCAGGTAACCAAACCAATTCTAAAGCATATAGCGGATCAGCTGATAAACCTATATCGGAATCTACACATATACATTCTACAGTCTCATCTCTACCTCAGAATAACTCTCTGTTTCTACTGAGAGACTACGTTGATGTGTACGAGAGTCGTCTACTTATGTCTACTGAAGATGTAAAGTCTCTTCTACCAAGCGGTCCAGTAGAAAACTCTTCAGTAGAAGTTAGAGTTGCTACAGACACTACAGTATGTCACAACCAGCTCTGCTGTGATTTCCAGGTATGAATGTTTGTGAAAAGCACAATTGATTTTCGTAACAACATATGCTGATTCCAAAAAGAGCAAGTAAACAATCATTCGGTGCATAATACATGATGACATATTATTGACATACAAAAATAATTATTTAACCAGAATAAACACTCCTCTAGCTTTGAGACTATTCTCCCAGCACAAAACAATCTACTTAATAAGTAAATACCAACAATAATGTACTAGGAACACAAAAGGCATATTTTCACCACTCTACATATTTACACTACTTAGATTTCTATGGGGTAACAAATAACTGAGGATGTTACTTTTACAGCTCAAAGTCTCCACAAACTTCAGTACAACTCCTGCAGATCCTCCTAGAGCTGACGACTTCAGCACATCTTCCTACCGCCTGGTGGCGTTTGACGGTGTAAGATCTTATGGTGGAGGAGTAGCAACTGGTGGTATACAGGTTAGTCTGATATGAATATACTTATTATTCACTAAATTCTCGATCAACCACCGCGATCAAGACTACTATATACTTTATGTATGAGTTGACTTAGTTCCTTTCTTCTAGGAACATAGTATAAGGCTGCACCAAAATTTTTCCACCGCACTCAATTCGTCATCTTACCTTCTTCATCGATTTCTTTCTTTAGGTATCTTCTCCAAATTATTATTGGTTCCTCTCTTTCTATTTTCCTGAGGGTTCCATTATAGGGCTTGCCTCGCAATGTTGTCATTTGGTCTTCTAAGGACCTCTCCACTTTCTTTCTTTTGTTTATTATATCACCAACAGGACTTTCTTCTTCTATTCTCAACACCTCTTCATTTGTTATTCTGCCCGGCCAAAGCACGTTGAGTCTTTGTCTGAGACATTTTTTAATGGATTTTGTAGTAATTTTATTAATTAGTCTGTTTTGGTTTTCTAGTTGTTACAGCAATTGTGACTTTCTAGATTTGGCAACAAAAAGAATAACAGTATTATATGAGTACAAGCTTTATATGAATTACAAGTTTTATTAGCTTTATTTTATACAAGTTGAATATAGAATAGTGAGATGACCTATTCCAGCTTGACTACGATCACCTATTTTTAAGCCCAAGTCAGCTAGGCCCAGCTTACAATCATTAAAAAGCCTAGTGATTTGTTTCACGATAGAACCGATAGACTTCTGGTTGCCAGGCGAGCAGTGGAATTACTAATCCACCTGTATGAAAACATGAAGAAAGTAAATTTGGCTAACCAATAAGCTATTTTCCAAATATGGGTGGACATTTATTGTAAAACTTTGACTGTATCTAGATCAGGTAGTGCATAAAGTCAGCTTTAGAGTTGCAGAGCTGAAACAATTTCACGTGTGGCTGGTTGTAAGGTTACCACACTTAACTGCAACTCTCTTCTGTTTCTGTTTTTAATGCACAAAGTTTCAGACGGTTTAGAAAGAGTCTACAGGAAAGTAGGTTGTGCATTCGTTTAATCCAAATGTAATTTGTAAATGAGCTAGAGCCAAAACAAAGTCCATGCTAGTATATTTGCATAAGTTAAGGAACAAAACATAAATAATAGTATTGACAGCTACTGAAGCTTTTTTACACGATATCATAAAAGTAATTCACAATTTTTGAATGGACTAAAATGTATTTAATTTTATTTTTAAGAACATTTTTACTTACTAAATGGATCTACTTAGGATTATTTATTTACTAAAACACTATACGTGGGGGCCCATACATGCACTGCTATAGAGTCTGACAGCCATTTAAGTCCTCGCTTAGTTTTACAAGCTCAGTTCCCAAAAAAAAAACTCCCACAGTGTTATCCTCAACACATTTAGTAGCCTACATGTATTTTTTTAGGAAAAGGTCCAAATCCTGGTATCTTACTCTCAAACGTAACATTTTGTTAGGTAGCTCAATGATTGATGGCCCAATGACAAATTACATCTGGTTCCCATAACAATATTGCTTGGAATGGAACCTGCTACTTCAGATTTGAAGGCGAGCACTTTAACCACTCGGCTACCCATAAATTACACATATACTGACACGGAGTCTCACAACCATTCGGGTGTTTGCTCACTTTATAAAAACTTTGTCCCCCAAAAAAGATCTTCACTGTATTTTACTTAAAATCTTTTCCATAACACAATGATTTAATATTTTTACTAGGTGTGTGCAATCATTCCATGCGTCAACGAGTCACTATCATCATGTGCAATGCCAGCCCTGTCTGCTCAGTTTGTCAAGCTCGGTCCCCTATACAAGGTTTCTACTGTGTTTGAGGCCATCACCATCTCCACAACTATCCTGTACAACAGCACCTTCGTATACCCGGATATCCTAGTAACTGGATCTGGATACAGCTATGGAGCTCTGGTATCCTCGGATATTTTCTCATTCGTTGCTTCAGATCCTCTCAATGGTTCTCAGCGAGTAACACTCAAGGTAGGATAGTTTTCTATATCCAAACAAATTTAAAATGCTTTTGATTATTAGGCAATTAAAAGCTACGTTTTTATACAGACTGGATGTATTGCATAAAATACATAACACAAAATTAATATTGCTATTAACTTTATAGCATTGTTATAAGAATGTTTTTACCTATAATTTCAAACAATTATGAGCTCATAGACAGATTTTTTATCCTTAAATCACCAAGAACCTTTTTTTTATAAATGTTGTTTACAAAGAAAGCATAGATTTTAATTTTCTAGAAGGAATCCGTAAAGAGCTGGGCTTCTTTAATTACATTTCCTGTTAGTCGACAAATTGGTTTCTATTCCTTTAAAAAACATATTTTCGTTGAAACTTCTATCCATGAATCCAGGTAACAGTTATAGTTTACTAACATTAATTTATCATACACATGATATACAATTTTTTTTATAGATAAATGATTTATAACCATCACATAATAAACATAGTTAGGTACATCTCCTACAGGCTATCAATTACTAAAGCATTAATCAAATGTTTTTTAGTTTTAGGATTTTCAAAAGTTTCAGTATGTTAACTGTGTTTTTTTGACTGTTGAAAGATTCTCAAATAATATGTCTATCTTACACTATAATTACATGAACTGTACATGTTTTAGGAAGAAAATGAGCTCAGCTCAATTAGACCATGAGGAGTGTGCTTCAAAATAACGTTTTATATCTTACATACTAACTTCTCTCACCAGACCTAACTGAAAAGCAACTTTAGAATAAGAATAACTATAGTATATTTAATTTTCCCTTCAACTACCTAACACAAAAACAAGAAAATAGGAAATAACGTTTCAATATTATAGCAGTAGCACATTCAATCACGTTATCTTCGAGTTAACAACTAGATACAACTTCTACTACTGGTATGGTATCAAATAGCTAGAATTTTCCTCTTTGTTTTTAGATGAAGACTCCACTGCACAAACTAGTTACTGCAGCTATATACGCTAGACAATTCGACCGAGACGGTCTTCCCAGGACAGAACTACCAACAAGTCGAGCTCAGTCAAATTGCTTTTATCAGTGTTTTATTATGTTGATGTTTCTATTTTTAAGTGTGTTCCCTTAGTTGTATTCTTATAGAATGAAAACTCAAACATTTAAACAATACATAGTAACACTTAATTTTTTTTAATTTTAGGATTTAATAAATGGTTATTTTAAGCTTTCATAATTTACGTTACTTGCACTCCCAGAAATTCCACACTAGGTAGGTAGTTATTTTTATGTCTTACATGATTTTTAAGGTCTTATTTGACATTTCTGGATAATTAAGGTTACCTGTGATGAAGGTGGATATTCTTTCAAAGACTCAAGTCTCCGTGTTCAAAAAAGGACTTCGTGCTTTTAATTACTTTGTGAACCTGATAAGGACCTTCCAAAGGATTGATTTGACATGTTACCCCCCTTAGCTAATAAAAATACATCAAATTCGTCCTAGACCACATTGTGAAGTAGAAGAGTCTGCAATAAACTAAGACTTATATTTGGAATCACCAGTACAAATAGCTGTAACATGATTTACTTAACATAGTATTATAATAGAACTTGCCCCATGGTCGAAAACTCGACCAAAAGTATGTATTGTGCAAACTTCTCTATTTTCCCCCAACGCTGTAAATGAAAAATGTGGTTAGATTTTCTTCCATTTGTTTTGACTTTCCGTTTATATTTTGTTGATATTTCGTCACCAACATGGTAACCCCATGTTAATTTTTTTATTTTAAATGATTTTGTGTGCTAATTTTTAAGCCTATTTTAATTTATGAAGAGATTCTGCACATCTACATGCAAATATTTTTCTAACAGTTTGCGAAGATTTTCCCTGCGATGTACATGAAATGAGAAAAAGGTTTTCTAGTTTTTAATAAACATGCTTGTCTATAATATATAGAACTAGCCCTATGTTAAATCTCCATAAAAAAGTTTAGTTTCCACTTTGTCCCAATTAATATAAATATTCTCAAAATACAAATAAAACCTGCACATATAGGGTCGAAACCTTTTTGTGGTACAGCCCACGTGTAATTCGATCTAGTATGGTCAGATTAGCTTTCATAAGTTTTGCAAAAGCTTCTTAATCTATAAGATTTACCAAATTATAAATGCAATACCATCCATTGTAACAAGTTTTAAATAATTAACTTCTTTTAAATGTATTTTATAAAGGTATTAATATAATTTTTCAAAATTCGAAGTTTGAACCTTATTGCATTAGGGGTTCCACAGTATAATTATGTATATTGTTCTGAATATGTTTAATAAAGGACTACACAATCATACAATAGCAGCTGGATAAAGAAGTGGTTTTCTTTTGAAATATTTCCCTCGTCTGTACCAGACCGGCGGATCCTCAATCATGTCAAGGCAGCATTGTATAACTCTGAGATGAGTTTCATTTACTTCACAAACTAACAAAATCTTTAAGAAAAAATGTATTTACAATACATTTTTCTTATTGTGTTTTTTACAGGGTTGTTTTTTTTATTTGATATAACTATACATTCCCCAACACAGCTTTATATTTTTAAACTTATCTTATATACTAACAAACTTTTCCATAACTTACAGCTAGCCTGACCATACTTCTGGACCGAATTACACGCGGTTGGTACCAAATGAAAGATATTTTTCTGTATAATGTGCAGAATCCCTTTAAAAATTAAAATAGACAAAACAATAAGCACAAAAAATGAATTTAAAATTACAAAATTAACATGGGAATAATAGGTTGCCATGTTGGTGACGAAATAACAACAAAATATAAACAGAAAATGAAAAAAAATAAAAGACATTCAAATCACATGTTTTATTTACAGCGTGGGTTGAAAATAGAGAAGTTTGCACAATACATACATGTATTGTGCAATCCACAAGTATATACATACAAGTACATACATGAATGTATGTACTTTTGGTCGAGTTTTCGACCACGGGGCAAATCTCTCGTACAGTACTAATTTATAAAAGATGGGTAACTTTTATAAGAGATTCGAGTGAACATTGTCGAAATCAGTAGCCATAGTAAGATCGTGTAAAGATTTACTGTCTTAATAAACGGTATTATATGGTATGGCATTTCAGGTTTGAAACGCGGGACTTTTGCTCCGAAAGCTTTGGTTCAAATCCCGCAAAACACCAGTAACTTTTAGCCACGTGATATTGTAATGACCCAGTGGTTCAGAATCCATCCAAATCTTAGAATTACTTGAATTTAAATCTCTTAAATTCAATATTACCAATTGAGATGAAGCTAGGTACGTATTTTTACCCAAAATGATTTAAGGATAAGTGTAGAATGGAGTGAGTTGTACCATTGTTACTGACTAAGATCAGCTGTTTCATTAGTCAGGACCATTATTATTAATCAGGAACAGCTGGGCCCGATTCCAACTCTTAAAAAAGCTACTGACTTTTCTCAGGATCGAACCGTCAACCGTTTGATTGCTAGTTAAGCACTATAACCACAAAGCTGGTTAACTCTATCATATCTGGTTGGTATTTCGAATCAATTTTAATTTATATTTTGAAGGTATTAACTACACCTACATCTAAACATTAAATTCATATCAATTCTTTAGTTGATTTTTCGGTAACATTAGTGATATCAAATACCATTCATTATATTTTCAAACACATAATGCCGTAATCGATTTTCAAGTGAAGTGTTCACAAGTGCTAAGTGACGTTGGTAAGATTGATGTATGTCACTTAAAGATAATGTGTTACACGCTTGACGCGTTCTTACTGCTTAACGACATTGAAATTCAAATATATATTCTGGTTTTGTAGGAAAAAACCCTAAAAATAACTTTTGTTTGTCTTTGTAGGTAACACAATGTAGAAGAAATAATTTTGATTATCTATAATTTATGACAACAGACTACAAAACTATTAAAAATAGCTTGAATTATAACTATATTTAGACATAAAACAAATTCACTTAATGATTTTGTGTTTGCTACATATATTTGTAAAAAAGTCTATATGTAATTGTCGTTATAGTTAAAAAGTATATTATTTATAAAATTTTAATACTCTTTCATATTTTTATCATTGAAAACTTTATTTTCTGACTTTTCATAGTTCACTGATTTATGGGATACATTTCATACATTACTTGACCAATTATTTTTCAATATTTGGCATAAAACAATTCAACTTTATTAAGGTACAACTTATAGAGGATAACTTTAAAATGACAAAATATATTTATTTCGTATTCCTATCAAAAGCGTAATCAATTAAATTGCAATTCATAGAGGAAATACTCCTTTAGCCTGCTTAAATAAGTATTTCATCAATGTTATCAAAACAATTCAATGGGCAAGATCTTTTAGTTTAGGATAAATTTGGTTTATTTCCTCAGTTTTTATAAGAACCTGTTTCATTTGATCCTTGGAAGGTCCTTATCAGGTTTATGAAGTAATTAAAAGCACCAAGTCCTTTGTTGAACTCAGAGACTTGAGCCTTTGAAAGGATATCCACCTTCATCATAGAGACTTAATTATTCAGGAATGTTAACTGATACCTGACACAGCCGGTTGGAAATTAAAATAAATCTACTCACAAGGCTGGTCCAAATTATTTTAACTCAATAATAACACTGTGGTAAAATTGTTATAAAGAGATACTATGATTTATGTATTTAATATTAATAGGTTTAACGCTTGAAGATAAAAACTAAAACTACAGTAAGTCGTTGTACAATATTGGGGAGAAATAAGAAAATTTGGAAAAGTTATTGGGAAAAAATGGAAAATACATTAGAGACTAACACAAATCTACTTTCTACCATATATATTTTTATTCATAGGGTAGTTATTTATTAAGAAAGTAAAATAATTTGCGCGAATTTTAAAGCTAATTATGAATGAAATTGACTGTAAAATGATGAACTAACAATAGTAGAATGGAGTGAAATAGTTTTTTTTTCAGCTGTGTTACTGACAAAACCAAGCTGAGCACACTTTTTCAGTATCCAGTAATTTACTGTTGAATTTTCTATAGCTTGTATAAATAATAGAGTTTCCACTAAAATAAACAAAATTAAGTATTTTGGATTAAAACAATCAAATGAATAACATGTCTGTTGCATAAAAATGTTTAACTTTTAAATAACCTTAATTATATCTTGCCCTTTATAATTGGTAAATAAAATTATAGTAGTACGCTTTTAGTAATTCTATTTCGTTAGTGACATCTAAGAAGGCGAGATTCAATAAAAACAGGAAGGAAGACTAAGCCGAAGCGAGGAAGTCGTTCTCGCTCCAGGTGAGATTTTGTTATCTTAACCTATTTCAGAAGACAGTTAAAAGTAACATGACATTTTTTAATATTTTCTTAGTTAGATTGGCAAATAACAGTATTTAATGACATTCTATTTAATAAGTATGACAATGAATAGATGTATGTGTTAAAGACATAATGATATCAGGTTGATAATCTTTAAAATATGTTTTTGAACTTTAGTGGATGATTAAAAGTCTTTTTATTAACATTAAAAATTATCTTTTAAAAAATCTTTTGTTTACATACACATACATAATACATTTACATTTACAACGTTTTCGTTATTATTATTCGTCTATGTTTGCACCGAGCTTAAATTAATCAGCACTTGAAATATGATTTAAAT